TATTGCCTCAGGGTGGTCAAGAAACACCAGATTGAGCAGTAGAATGTCCACTGAAGTGAAGCAAAAAAAGCGTGTCAAAAACTGTTCTTTATGTATTTTTTATTATGACATCACTTTGGTGCTTTTCATTCCCATTAGGCTGCTGACTTCAATATTCAGCAAGGTTAGGAACTTAATCCGTCGACAATCAATACCTGTGATGATAATGTGCCGAATGGCCGCGTGTAATGTCAGCGGTGTCACCTGTGATGACAAACCTGTGGGGAACCATCACAGCCCACAGCAGTTAAATGGATCTTTATAGCAATCATTTTTTTTAATGTCTAACATGTGATGAGACTCGTGAATGACCCTCAGCTCCTGAATCGGTGAGAACCATTCGAAAGTCAAATATACTTCTCTGGGATCAGACAATAAAGCGCTGATAATCATTTTTCGTTCTTATTTTTACCATGCGAGCACATGGTGGATTCGTGGTTAGCATGTCTGCCTCCCAGCTGTGAGGATCTGGGTTTGAATCCTGGCTGCAGCCTTCCTTTTTTTTCATTACGGAACCATTTAGAGTCCTGAGATTCAAACCAAAAACCTCTCAACCTCTCAAACTCTGATTCGGCGTTCGTATTTTGGGGCCGATTCGCACACCGCTCTCGTAACGACGCTGTTACACAGATGCTAATTGTTAGCCTGCTTGTCTATGGAGTTTCCCCATTGTGTGTTAGCATTTAGCTTTATGGTTGTTTTAAATACATAATTCTCTTTGTTTTAAGTTTAAATTGAGAGTAAACGTCAGCTGAGAGTGGCAGGAAACAGCTTGCAGCAGTTTCCTTGAGGAATCCGGACTAATTATATCTGTCCAACTGCCACTGGTTGTGAAATGCGTTGTGTCACATGCCTGCTGCATTTTGTTAAATGAGTGCTTCTCTTACACGTCTACAAACTGAGCATTGCTCACTATGAAAGAAGAAAGGCTCTTTATTTTCAGCTCTTGTGTCGGATCTCATTAGCTTGTGCAGGTGTAGCTCACGTTGTCGGATATGAAGTGAGATACTGAGGTACACCCCCGTGATGATGACAATCACAAAGGCAATTTTCTAACACAGGATGCCACGGGAGTGGAATGTTGAAATATTAAAAGCACTCCTCACTGATTTCTATCAACTATTCAGGACCCAAAATATACTACTCAAAAAAAAAAAAAAATTGAAGGGAACATTAAAACAGCACAATGCAAGTCCAAGTGTTCCCTTTATTTATTTATTTTTAAGCAATTTGGGTTGAGGTCAAGGCCGTGTAAAAGTGTGCAACGACTGAATTAATAGCAAAGAAATACAGTTGCTGTCCATCGAGAAGAAAAACCAGACTGAACACATTGGCGTTTCAATGCACTCCTCATCAACGCCTGGTGTGAATTGGGAGCGCCTTCCATTTGATTTTTACGGATCAAAGAGTCACCATGCAATCCGGTTTGCCGTGTTAAATGGAATGGGCCGACTGTCTAACGAAGCGGCTTTAAACACACGTGTCCTCCAGTACGTTGCCATTTCCACACCTTCTTTTATTGTCTGTTCATAGGAATGTGATTACCGGTATATGCAACAAAAAACGGCCTCACTCTGATTTGGTATGCTCATGTCGCCGCCACCTGAAAACATCTCATCTGGACTCCCGGGAGATTCGAGGCAAGGGGTACGTCAGAGCTGACAGATTGCTTTGACTCACGTCACCTTTGGACAAAACGAGACATTTCGCTGCATGCGGCAAATAAAGACCCTCCGTCTCAAAGATATGTGGACGTTCTTTCGTGCAACATAAAAGTATAATTGCGGCAACAAAAGCAAGGGAGAGGGCAGGGCTATCAATAAGGCTCGCTTCTTATCTGCATCACTGCGTTCTCACTTTGCTCGGCTGTCTTTCCAGGCGGAACGGCAGCCAAGTCCCATCGGGACCAGCAATTTACTCACATGCCAATGACATGTTGATCACCTGACCCTCACCCGGTGTGAAGTGTAGGCCTGGAGGGGGTTCGATGAGGAGGGTCAGCAAGGTCCCTCAAGAGCCACATGCGCTGATGTGCTTAAAAAAAAAAAAAAAAATCCACGCGGTCATATCATAGCTCCTGAGCATCGGCGCGAGGCAGATGATTGAAATATTGATTTGTGCAGCAAGACATCTGCAGCCAAGTGGCGCCTTTTATTTATTTTTGACACAACTAATGGCGCACAGGAGCACACGTCATGATATAAATCTCAAGACCATGTTGTCAGCAGACACACACACAAAAGGGATGGCCAACAATGATTTATCCCGGGAATGGGCAACATGTGACTACATTGAGTGTAGCCTTGATTCATTGAAAATGAAAGAATTTTGTTTTAAAGCATTTTTTTAAAGTTCTCATAAAATATGATAGATAGATAGATAGATAGATAGATAGATAGATAGATAGATAGATAGATAGATAGATAGATAGATAGATAGATAGATAGATAGATAGATAGATAGATATCTTATGAGCTGGCTTACTAGCTAGCAAGATAGATATCTTACGAGTTAGCTTGCTAGCTAGCGAGCAAGCTATTACACCTGCGATGTTGACACGTCGTTCATCGGGAATTCATAAAATAAATTTAAAAATTATGAATTATAACAAAATCCTCATATAAATAATGATTCATTGGCATATATTTTCTTGAGTAATTGCAGTTGGAATGTAAACACTACCAGGAAATAAATCAACTCCTCAAAATTATTTCGAGCATGTAAAAAACATAGGAACAACTCTTATTCTAAGTACACCTGTGACAAAAGGAAGACAAATTAAACATGGAAAAAGAAGGTTGAATTTACTCACCTTTATTTTGTCATGTGGTTGCAAAACATAAAATCATCTGGACCCTGTACATTTTTCAATTAGATGACTAGTCTACTTTTAGAAAATTACCTGGATCCAGAGGATTTTGTTTCATGCAACCACTTGAGATAAAACTGAGTCAATTCAACACTTTTTTTCAGTGTACAAATAAAACAAAACATTTAATGAAAAGTAAAATGGCTGCTTCAAAGCAAAATTATGGACTTCCTGTTCAACTTTATTCATGGAGACTTTTTTGTGCGTCCTGCTACGATAGATAATGACAGTCAAACTAATGCCAGTTTTTCAAACATTCCGATGGTGCAACGAAGTGAGTTTTGGGACAAACATTTTCTTTGCGGTTTATCCATTTGCAAATATCGGTGAGACCCACTTACTCCGCCAACAGCCGATTATACATAAACAATTCCAAGAGTGCCTTCGCACATAAATATATTATACATAAACAATTCCAAGAGTGCCTTCGCACAAACTGGTGGTCTCCAAGTGTATCATATTATAGAATCCAAGAGCTTGAAAAACAACTAAGCTTGTGTATGCTTGACACTCATCTTATGAACATGTGCCATTTTTGACCTACAAAAGGTCTCAAGAGTTACCTTGTGGTCCCATAATTGGCGCAATGGAGTCCATTAGTGTACAAGAAACGGAACTTGACTTGAATCGCCGTACGAGCAGTTAGGCATGAAGTCACGGGGGACTTCATGATCAGTTCTCCCAATCAAGCCTGAATCAATGTAATTAAAAGGTGCTTTCATGTTTCAGACCGATCGGCACACCGATTGGCATCAAATCTGAGCCTCTTTCTCCATTACATTGTCATCCCACCCGCTGTGAGCGATCACATCTTTGCTCACATCTGAGGCAAACTCCCTCCAAACTAGAGCACGGACCACCGCAATGAAGTCATTTTCCTCCAAAGGGCCCCCCCTCTTAGATTGGAACTATTATCAGTCATTTACATCGGACGTGGCCCGAGCTCCAACATCTAGTCATAAAATGCCATCAATTTTCTCACTGCAGCCTCGGGAGCACTTTTGGGACTGCGGGAAGGGTTCCGAGTGTATAAATCTAAAATTATGTGCGGAGAGAGTGACAAGCCCATCAGTGATGATCCAGTGAACAGTGTCCCACAGTACAAAAAGGCCATCTTTGCTCAAGACGTCTCATGGCAGCAACGCATATTTCACCACATCGCCCAAAAATCAGATCATATCAGGTGCATTTTAAGGATTTATTGACGGGGAAATAATACATCAAGAGGAACATAAAAAGGACGTCAACCTCAAAACTGAATACAACAACAGTATCTCAATCCTGTGAAGTCATATTTGCATTTTGGGGATAATATTGGGTTATTTTTACCATTTCTAGGACACCAATATATTCAGTTGTGGCCCTGATTAATGTTGCTGCCACACACAATTGTGCCCACTGAGCTTTGGCGCTTACCTGAGGGGGAAAAACAACAACAACAACAACAAAAAAAAGCAGACGAGCTCCTTCCCATTTGCGCAAGTATACTGTTTTAAAATCTTTCTGCGGGATTACCACAAATCTCCACAACGACATGCGGTTGCCAAGGGTGCAAGAAGAGGCTGGGCTATCAACTAAGTGAGACTCACGTGTCGAGTAAGATGAATTCGGCCCCAAAGGTCAAACTTTCTCATCTTGATTGGAGTTACAGTGAGAGATGCCGCTTGATTGTTCCCATGCATAATTGATAAGAGTGTGATTGCCTCCCAAACACCTGCCATCCCATAGCTCTGCTGTCATAAATTCTCCAGCGGGTTTAAATGGACATTTTAAAGTCGCGCTACGTTGGAATAGAGGATGACGGCTACGGCAGTTTGGCTGCGAAACCGCAGTTCCCTTTACGCGCAGCCGCGCATTGCGCGCACATTTAGCACCGCTTTTATGAGCAAATGCGCTCAATAGCGCATCTTGTGCAACGAAACAACACGTGTTGCTCGTTTCGAGATGTTATTGGACAGAAACGTTGCAATATTTGGAGCCGAATGAGCCTTTACGCACACAGACGTCCGTGCGTAAAAATCCAGTGTTGATAATAATGTTAAAATGTTAAATACGGGCTGGAATTTAAGAAGTAGAACGGGTGGGAACTCACGCTGCTGTTGTGTCCGGACCAGTGCACCATCGCCTGGTTGTGTGCAGAATCTCCCGACAGAGCGAAGGTGGAAGTGTCCAGGTGGGGATCACTTTGCCTCGGGTGAGCACCTTTGGCTTCCTCGCCCGCGCGCCGGTATTCGGTTCTGTAGCTGGGAGCCCCTCGGACGCTCCTTCGATGCACATGTTTTCTCTCAAAAAACGCCTTTCCTTCGATTGGCTCCGTTTTCGGTGGCCCGGTCGCGAGCCATGTCTTTTCACGCCACTTTGGCTCGGAGTTGTCGTCCAAAAGTTGAATCGAGACTCCCGCGTACGCTTCGTCCCGGCCAACGCGAGACTCCAGCCGGTAAAACCGCCTGTCCGCTGTAAAACTTATTCCCGCTTGCACCTCAAACTTGGCGTGAAAGGCGTGCAGGAGCAGGGCAAACGAAAGAGAAAAAGTACCACGCCACCATAGTCCCATTGTGCTCGATTCTTCCACCCGGGGAGTCGGTAGCAACTTGTCAAATATTCACGGTAGCATTTGTGCGCGTTGAGAGGAGGAAAAAAAAAGAGCCAACTTGGAACAAAGTGATGGAACGGTTGGGGAGGTGCTGCTGTGCGTCAAGCGGGCGCGCTGGTGGAGGGAGAGTGAGCGCCCGCAGCAAGCCTCGGTGCCGCATCACCGCACGCTTGCTTGGACGCGACGAGGGGAGGGGATGCGTGAGAGTCAAAACACACGAAATGATTGGTGAAATGGTTCCATTTTCATTGTGGTGACAGGATCCATTTGAAGCAGTCACCCCCCCCCCCCCCCCCCAAAAAAAACAACAATTGGATGCAAAAATTGCGAGACGACAATGCTTGGGCTTGAAGCGCAGAGCTGTGTACTTCTCCACCCGCATTCTTGGTTAGATTTATCTACTTTTTATTTAAATGGATTAAGCTGGCACTAGGAAAAGCCCCAGGACTCGTAACGTCCCCAGAAACAAGAGCTTTGAAGTCCTATGATCTGTCATGTGCGTGACTCCTGCTGCCACTGTGCAAAGCATCAAGCATCCCAACTGTTTTATTTTATTTTTATTTTTTAATATGAGCACAATTACTCTTTTTCAATCTTCCCCGACTCAATTTGAAAAGGATGACTTAAAGTAGACTTGTGTAATTGCCCTACAGATCAAAACAGCTGCCAGCTGTACTGATGGCGTCGAGTTAGTGGTTTTCATTACCATGGCGACCAGGGTGCTGTTTTGAACCCCAATCTGATTTTTTAATAACAGAGAAGACTAACACGAGTGCCCACAAAGACTGTAAAAGCACTGATTGTTTCCCTTTTTCGGGCCGGGCCGCACTTCATCACAGAAGCGAAGTAGGTTACGTTAAAATCGGGCCAAATTTGAGGTAGTGCTGAAGAATACGTTTTATTTAACAGCGGCGGTGCAATGATGTTGGAAAGTGCATCCAATTGGAGAGAGGCTGGCAGAGTGATTTCAGAGTGCTATTTTGGCGCAGTACTGCCATGAATATTGGAGAAAATGGAGGAAGTAATGAATGTGATGTCTCTGTCCCGGGCTGCGGAACAGTTGAGAAATTACAAATGGAGACGTTAAATACGTCTTCGTGGAAATCTAGCTCACAATTGAGCGTTAACTCTCAGTCCTACCGTGACATCCATTCCCATTTTATTTCGCTCTTTGTTTTTTACTCACTTGTCTTTACTTGTATCGTTAAGATAGAGGACAATCCACTCAGTTTTAGTTATTTCTACTACCTGCTACAATTGCCGTATATAGCGCCCCGCTGCCTCCTACATGTCAAAGTCGGTACTACAATAAATGTCGTGTTTGTGCTCGTCATCTCAAAAAATGTATTGGCCTACTTCAAACACTAATTAAGTTCGTAAAAATCGGTTTGTGTGTACCCTGACGCATCATACTTGACAATTACCGTGTGGAACATATCGATGAAAGCTGATAATGCTCCGCTTCGAACAAAACTGCATCTCCGCTTAGCTTTTGCCTTTGACATAACAGTTATTCAATTTAGCCCGACGGCCGCTTGCGAAAAAAAAACACACAAAATCGCGCATCATGACGGGTGGGCATGGCACTTCAGAGACTCAACTATTTGTATGGAAGCAATGAAAGTCTTTTCATAATTTTGACACATGTAATGGAACCAAAAGCATCCTAAAAGAGATGAGTCCCCTCACAGCAATAAGCGTATCATTTTATGGAAATGGAAAAAACAAGTTTGCATCAGCCACCCATGAGAGACGCACGCGTGCGCTTCAAGGATAACAAGTGCATTCTTGTTTCACGGCAGGATGAGAAATGTAACTGTTTTGACCTTGTAACGCAAAAGCAAGTTACTTACATGGAGACATTAAACGTCAACATCACGTCATGACCGAAAGCCACAACCAAGCATCCTGCTGTGACAAGTGGTGATGAAGCCAATTTATGTGACTGAGGTCAGGTGCATCAAATGACCAGAGCACATTCCCCCCTCACCGGGCACTTCATTAAGTACAGCACAATCTAATGAGATCCTGTATAAGAGCTCAGTCAAGATATTAGTAGATTGCTCCCTGCAGAAAAACAGTCCAGGAGACAGAAGACAAACAAGAAGCTCATGTAAATTGGTCATCTATGAACCCGGTGTCCTCATACTGAGACGTCAATCTTGCCGCTCTCTCGCTCTCTGTCTCCACTACTAACAGCTACTCATGTACCACAAAAGGGAATAAAAATCTCCACCTCTTGCATGCTCAATGCCACTGTGCAAATGAGCTTTGGATATTTAAATTCAAAATGAATACTGCATTTCCTTCTTCCTGTTATTTTAATTGTTGTCTTTATGTACAGCACTTTTTTTTCTCACAATAGTTGTTAAAATGTGATTGAAATAAAAGGATCAATGTTAATTACCTGACAAAGTCCACTTGCAGTCAAACGGAGATGTAGACACGTCACTTCCTGCTTTTCTAATCACCAGGTGTGTGTCCACCAATCAGACGGTGTCTATGGGTTGTACCAGGTGTTGGGGAGTTGTCTATGTTACAGGAGATTCATGAGACATACCATTGTAAAATAATATCAATATTTCACAACGATACGTTTTTGTGAGTTGTTAACTCCTTTTTTTCCCCCTAGTTTACTAAGTATGACTTTGAAAAAACACGTTGACAACACGTTTGCCTACCTGAGAAGTCAAGTGATTCCAAAGAGGTCGGGGCATTCTTGTTCGATAAGCTTCTTCATTCACTGTGACAATAAAACAGGAAATAAGTACGAGATTAAATAATATCATCAGAAATCTGTGTTGCTTCAGTTAAGCCCCTCCAGCATTTGATTTGATATTCCCAAATATATTTATAAATCATTTTCTCAGCCCCCCCAAGACAGATAACAAGGAAAACGTTTTTGTTTTTTGTTTGTTTGTTTTTTAGGGGGGGGGGGGTAGCCTCGTGTGACATTGGCTTCGGGAAGTGTGTGCTTTGAAACAACTGCCCAAGCTTAGCCACTTGCTTGACATCATAAGGGCATGTTAATCAGTCATATTTGTGTGCTTCTTTTTTTTTTTTTTCTCACATACCGGTCATTCGACAGTCCTGTAATTGTGCTTTTTCTGATCCGCTTATCCTTATGAGGGATGCGGGTGTGCTGGAGCCTATCCCAGCTGTCTTAGAGCAGTACGTGGGGTACACCCTAAACTGGTTGCCAGGCAATCACAGGTCGCAGACGAACAACCATCTGCACTCACACCCACACCTAGGGTCAATTTAGAGTGCTCCATTAACCTGCCATGCATGTTTTTAGAATGTGGGAGGAAATCGGAGTACCCGGAGAAAACCCACGCAAGCATGGGGAGAACATGCAAACTCCACACAGGAAGGCCGGAGCCGGAATCGAACCCTGCACCTCCGCCCTGTGCTTACCAGTCGACCACTGTGCTGCCCTGGTGTACTGTAAAAATCTTAATTACATTCACTTGCTTCAAGGCTGCATTGTGCTGCTCTGTGGATGAACTCTCAGTTGCAAAAAGCAAGAATCTTCTGAGCAGTAAGAACAGCCTTTGTCGGTGGGGGAAGAAAAAAAAAAGAGCATTCTCTGTCCTTGAAATCTGCAAGTACAAAAACAAGCCGATGCGCTGACACAAGGTCGTCACCTTTTAATCTTGTAGACGACAGAGAAAGTGCTGTCCGCTTTTGTCCTTCCCACTGGGATCATATCTTGGTCACCATTTTTTTTTTTAAACGAGAGTCTCTTCCTGTACAGACAAAGTGAGATTCATACAAAGTGAAGGTTGCGGGCAGCAGGTGCTCCTGATGCAGCTTGGCCACAATGGCAGACAGCTCACTCTCTCCGCAGGCCATCCCTCGCTGGAACGCCTCGCCAATGAGGGGGTAATTGGACTGATCGCTCTCTGTTTACTCATTATGCTGCAAAGATGAAGTGGCTTGCTCCCAAATAAAACCGTAGCGAGCTGGCAAAGGGAAATGGAGCCTCCTCCATCAGTGTCTTACCCTAAAATGTGTTTTGAGACGGCAATATGGCTCACGTCAGTTCAGTTTGTGTCTATTGTCACAAGTTGAGAATGATAGTCGGGCGGGGCATTTTAACCGGTACAAATTTGGTCTCATGTGTGAAATGAGGTGATTGTCTTGAACCCTTTTTAGGGACAGCGGTGACTTACCATGTTATCAGGTTACAGCTTGTCATTATTGGTGCATGAAAGGGTTTTGTGGGTATTCTTTTTTTTTTTTTTTTTTTTGGGCAGTCCAAGGTGACATCTGCCTTTCGCCCGATATCAGGTGCAACCCGGATGGCTGCACGAACTGGATGGCCGGAACCTAAAAGCTTAACTAGTGAAACGGAAAACAATAACGATGGGAAACAGAAACAGGAAGAAAAAAAAAGAGAAATGCTTTGCCGCAACATGCGTAGAAACAATAACGATGTGAAACATAAACAGGAAAAAAAAAAAAGAGAAATGCTTTGCCGCAACATGCGTAGCACTGCCACTAATTGCAACAACTACATTCACCTCAATTCCAAGTTGTATTTCTAATTATAATTATAATTGTTTCGGTGCCGGTCCGTTGAAATATGTCTTTACGGGGAAACCAGCCCATGGTGCAGAAATGGTTGGGGACCAAAAAAATCATTAGTGATGCCATGATTTATCGACTTGGATTCAACTTTCAATGTGTTATAGTCATTACAAAAATTCTTTAGTCATGACTGACCCCGTGGTGGAATGAAGCCAAATCAGGGTTCTGAACCGTCCCGTGTTGACCTGATCTGAATTATTATACTGCTCGGAATCATGTCTTCAGAACATAAATTTAACTTTGGAGGAGAGAGAGAGAGAGAGAGAGAGAGAGAGATGGAATCATGTCTTCAGAACATAAATTCAACTTTGGAGGAGAGAGAGGGAGAGAGAGAAAGAACATACTGACTGTGCTTGTGTATGAAAGTTATAAAAGTGTGTTTGGGAATGGCGAGATATCTGCTGATGGATTGATGTTGATAACAAGGAATATCTCACATCTTCCAGGGTGGAGTGCAT